CAGTGAATAAACACCCCCTTATCTCAGTACTTGATTATGCTATGGTGCTTTAAAAAAAATAAAACGTAACTTCAATAACTATATTTTGAATTTTCTTTTTCACAGTGAGAAAAATAAGACTACTACGTGCAATTAATTCCACTTCAAACATATAAATACAAACTCTCACCTTATAATTTTTTCAACGAAACAAGGTGTTGCAGAGATAATAACAGATTCAAAAATTTTTCCAGAGAAGTCTATTTGACCAGGTAATCCAAAATATTGCTAGATGACTTCCTATTGTTTGACAGTAAGCTATTGTTACCAATCAATCTAAAAAAAAACTTTCAAATTCTTATTTTTAATCAATATATATGAAATGTTCCTTCACTGGGTAGTGTTCCTTCACTGGTTTGTTTACCCTAGATATAATGACACCAGACGATCTCATGGACCCTCTTCATATGAATCAAATTTAGATCTTTGTACCAAATTAACATCTCTCGGGGTTGCATAGCGACCACCTGCCCTGCCACAAACAGCTAAATGCTCTTAATGCTTTCTTTTAATTCTACTCATTTCACTTCATTGCTATTTATTTGTTTTTAACTTTGGAACCCTTTTGGTTCAATGATATTTCTATATTTTAGTATTCTGGAAGCCTGTTGGTTCAATATCAATGTTTTATCACGTTTAAATTGCTTTTGCTTGTCTAATTTACCTTTTGATCCAATGTTTTTTATGTTTACAATCTTTCACTTACCTCTTTACCCTCTTGGATCCAATGTTATATACTGTATTCTTTTTCAGATTGTTGTTGTTAGTAATAATCAAAGATACTTAAGAAATCATGTAATGCTATATCAAATTCGTTTCTATTCAAATCTAAGGCATACAAGTCATTGTCAACTAAAATTATAGGATGTCAACTAAAATTTAGGATAAGCATTAAATATTATTATATTTATTTATTATTCATTTATTTTGTTTTATTATTCATGTTTATCATTGTAAATTCTCATCTTCTTTTGTTTTCAAACTGGAAATTGTTTTGTATCCTTTTGTTGATCAATAAATTTTCACCCCGGATGCCCCCGCTAGGGGGCGGGACAGGGCTGAGCTTTGAAATTTAAAAATAACTGAATTTCTGGTAACGGTGCCTTTTCTTTGAGAAATAATGTGGTTTCAGAATCAAAAAAATCAGATTTTCAATTTTTACGTAAAAAAATTCAAGAAATTATGAAAAATTTTGTGAATTTCTGAAAAATACACAATCTATAAACTATAAATAAGGCTAACATCACGTTTTCTGATTCCCTGATATCCTATCAAAAATTTTCTCCCTGAGGGAATTCTGACGACAAAACTATTGCCAAGGGAAATCAAAGATAAAGTAACGGTCTATTTATTGCAAAGCAAATAATGATAAAACCTATACTTGAGAAAAAATGAGGATTTATCAATCGAATATATAAGCCGCAACTGAAGATGAATAGTGAATGCAAAAATTGTGAATTTCGCACCAATGCTCAACGATTTATTAGTAGTCGATGTCTTCTTGATAGAGAATCCATCTAATTTTAAATCTAGTCTAAATTCCCCGTGGATCTAACAAGGGAGACTAGGGAAGTGTGACTCGCCAATTTTGAAATAAACTAGTGGGATGTATGCCTTATGAAGAATAATTTTAGGGGGCAACATTCGCTTCGGCCCATAGAAGGTCCTATGAGAGATAAAAAATAATTCAACATATAGAAAAATCGGTATTTTATTACTTCAATGCAGACTATTAATTATTGTAATTATCTCATGCTCCAACTAATTTGCAATTAATTGGTTAATTAATTAATTTGCTAATTAATTAATTTGCAATTACATACTCCAATTAATTTGGAAAATTTTTCGAAAAAAAATTTACAAAATTTGATGCCAATTTTTTTTTTAAATTAACCTAACAGGTTTTTCTGAAAAACTACAGATTTATAAAATTTCCGAAGTCAATTTTGACAATAAATATGCATTATGTAGTACGTGAATGTACCACAAAATTAATTGGAGTATGAGATAATTATAATAACTAATAGTCTGCATTGAAGTAATAAAATACCTATTTTTCTATATGTTGAATTATTTTTTATCTCTCATAGGACCCTCTATGGACCGAAACAAATGTTGCCCCCTAAAATTATTCCTCATAAGGCATTCATCCCACTAGTTTATTTCAAAATTGGCGAATCACACTTCCCTAGTCTCCCTTGTGAGTTTAATGAATCATTGAATGAGTTTGCCTAACACTCAAAGAACTTGCGAAAATCATTTGTTGGAAAATATTTTGGATTACAGATTGAAACATTACTTCGGCAGAACGTGATTTAATTGCTTGCTCTTTAAAACTTAACATATTTTTGGCCACTAAAGACATAAATACTCCATTAATTTTAATTTGCAATTCATTTTTTAAGGCAATAAATAGATGAATACATTAGAAAACAAGACATTTTCTTTCATTCGAATATATAGCTTAACATCCTCTTGAAATATACCGTTTATTATTCCACAAGTTTGTAGAAGGTAAATTGTCTTAAGATTCATAATATGTAATATGTATCGGAAGTTAGGAAAGAGCAAAAATAATACACGATAAACAGACATGCTATATTTTCAATTCTTCATATTAGAATCGGCACTATAACACCGAGTGTCCTACAAAAAAGTGACATATTTCATAATTAAAAATGTCGGAGACAAGGGGAGATAACGAAATGAAGCAAAGGGTATGCCGATTGTGAAAGATGCAAATATTTAATTTATGAAGTTTATTTTAAAAAATTCCGATAGGTGACGTTGTTGTGACGAGCAGATCAGTTTTAGGGCTAAAGTATAAAAGAAAGTCGTCACACCGGGTCAGGTTTAAACCATCTATTCTACTGAATACTAATACTTCTGGTACTGAAATATGAAAAGTTCACACATCTACGGCATTTGTATTCCCTTCAAGAGCTCTGTGCAACGTTCAGCGCCACCTGTTGATTACTTTCGTTACTAAATTCTAAATTTCTGAATAAATATTTTCAGCTTTCACGACAGATATATCGTTTGTTTTATTTCCTTATTATCCTTTGTTTCCGAGATTTTTATTGTTGGAATCAGTCAATCCTCCTCTGAACTAGATACCCTGTACTATAGTTTTGGTTCTAGAATGAAGAATTAAAAATATAGTATATTTCTTGTAGCATTATTGGTGGTATTTCTCCTTTTATTAACTTTACTTATATGTTACACAAAATTGACTCTGTCCTCACATGCGTAATAAATATTTTAAGGTTTTTTTCTTCAAGAATATAAAATAGGACACGTTTTTATAGATGAGAATGTATATATAACTCAGTGGTCAGAAAAACTACATTTTTTTGTAGTTTACTAGAACTACAACTACTTTGTTATAAATGTAGTTAACTACAATTGCAATTACTTTTTTTTAAAATTTAGTGGCTACAAACTACTTGGGAATTTAATAACTACTTCACTACTTTTAGGAGACGAACTTTGCTGGAGAATTTAATTGACGCCTATGTTCAAAATGGTTTTGAATGAGAAATTGGCTTCCTTTTAATATAAGGGAATAACTAAGAAATGTTTATTCTTGTTTATATGAGCCAGTTTGTTATTTCAGAAATTTTTTTTCGAATTTGCCCATTTAATCTTCAACTTTATATGCCTTTTTTGATAGCGAGTATTTACTTTAAGAGATATCATTGCAATTTTTTAATTGTGTAATGATCTTTCATTTTCTAAGAAATTAAGTTAATCAAAAATACTTTCCATTTCTTTGAAATAACATCAATGTTTCACGAATGAGCATTCTCGTTGCAAAGTGTGACCAAAATGATTAATTATATATATATTTCATAATGGCTAATTTAAATATTAACTGTAAGTCATTTTAAATACATACAGATTTGTGTTGAAGCTCAGTTAC